AAAGACAAGACCAGTTGGTAACAGGAGACAAACAGAGACGGGTTGCAGAATCTTGGATTGTGAGTAAACCGCTGAAGACCTTTCATCAATGAGGTCTGATAGGACTTTAAATAGCCAAACTGAAACCAAATGTTTGGTGCCAATGTCAAGAGTTTAGTCCTAAGATTTATACAACCCTACTAGATGGCAGTGTCCGGTTGGTGACTGAATGTTTCTCTACTGCAGTAAAGCAATACAACACTTCTCTCTGAATGGACAATGAAAGAGCAGTTTATCATTCCCCCCTCCTCTTCTCAGGTTGTTCTTTGTAAGCATGTGTACACTGAAACACACCTGATTGGTCCCTTGTGCTGCCTTTCCTAATCTGATTTCGATTGTACAGGGAAATACAAAAGGGTCATACCAAGTCTATTGTAGGTGCTTACTCTAATTGTCTTTAAAAAATACACAATCCTTTTTTTTTTAAAAAATGAATACCTAATTACTTTAGTTGCTTTTTCTTCCTATCTGCCTGGGTTTCATCTTTAAGGGTTCTTGTGTGTCTGAACCACGCATCACAATTCACAACCAATACAATTTTGGAAAGTGGGCAGTGACAAGTTGCAGGAAAATTGGGTATTAGGAAAAATGTAAAATATATTAGAAATTACAAAAGTAGAGCAAATATACTACAAGAAGAAAAAAAGAATTTGGAAATAGAAAATGGAAAGTAAATGCTTTTTTTAAGTTTTGTTTTTCCTTTTTTTTTAAATATATTTCGCCTCCTCTGTACTCCACGGTCCAAATCCCAATACGAACAGAACAGTAAGTATATCTCTCATAAACTAGAGTTTTATGACTGGAATTTTAAGCTCCTGGGAGCCCTTTTTCCAATCTACATTTATCTAGCAAACTGTACAAGAACAACAGAAGAAGCTGATGTGCACCAATCATCTACCTGTCCAATTACAGGCTTGCCTTTATCCAGACCGGTGATAAACTGTAATGATTCTCACCGACCAACACTTATCCATACAGAACTCTGAAAATTACATTTCTTCTCTTACATATATATATTTTTTTTCTGCTTCTGGTCTACGATGGTTTCATTTTCCTGGCCCTGGTAATAAGGGAGAACGCAGCACTTTATGATTTAATGGTCATTGCAGACTTTTTTCCCCTGGAAAAAATATATATAAATTAGCCAGCAGAAAGTTAACTTGTTTAGTAAAGTTTTCTGGACGGATGGCTAAACTTTTTTTTTTTCAGTTTTTTTGAAGCATCATTTTAAAAAGAAATAGCTGAAATGTTAAAATCACACAAAGCAGACAGATAAATGTGGGCATGCATAAATATAATTCGCATTACAATGTACAGTTAAGGACTTTCTACTTTAATCACTTGAGATCCTGAAGGTTTTACCCCCTTCATGACCAGGCTATTTTTTGCTATTTAGCACTGCGCTACTTTAACTGGTATGCAATGCTGTATCCAAATGAAATTTATAGCATTTTTTTCAAACAAATACAGCTTTCATTTGTTGGTAGGTTTTTTTTTTTTATTTTTTTATTATATAAAGGAAAAAAGACCAAAAATGTTGAAAAAAACCCACAATATTTTTCTCTTTCTGCTAACACAAATTCAATAAAAAAATTAAAAAAATCTAATTTCTTCATAAATTTAGGCCAAAATATATTCTACTACATGTCTTTGGTAAAAAATCCCAATAAGTGCATATTGATTGGTTTGCATGAAAGTTATAGCGTCTACAAACTGTGGTATATACAGAACACTGGAATTTTTTTTTTATACTACTAATTGTGGTGATCAGCAACTTATAGTGGGGTTGTGATAGTGCAGAGGGCAATCAGACACTAACTGACACTGGGTGGGAACTGGTTAACTGACACTGACATCACCAGCAACACTAATACAGTGATCAGTGATAATACTATACACTGTCACTCTATTAATGGAACTGGCTGGGAAGGGGTTAACATCTAAGATCGACCAAAGGGTTAACTGTGTGTCAAAAAAAGTGTTGCTGTGTGCTGCTTTTTATAAAAAAAATCTCTTTGCTCCTTCTCCCTGCACTGCAGGGAGAAGGAACAAAGAGATTGTTCCCTCTGTACAGAGCCCTGTGTTGATTGTCAACACAGAGTTTCTGGGCTGTGATTGCATACAGCCATAAATCATTGGCTAAGACCTGCTAACAGAATCCCACTGTGTCTAATCACAGCGAGAACTGGCGGTCAGGGGTGTCCTGTACCTGGAAGAGGCCAGCGATCTACAGGTACATCGCTGAGCGCCCGTCCATAGTACATAGCGGTCCTTACATGGTAATAAAGGTTTAGGGATTCTTCAATGTGGAACTTTAATCCTAAATCCAGGCAAAACCTTTTTTTTTTTTGCAAAGCAGTGGAGAGGGTTATAACCTCTTACATCATTTATCTGCTGTCTGTGTTCCCATTTTGGAGGTTGATCTTTACTCCCTGTCAGCTTGATGGATGCCAAATAGAACAGTAAGTAAAGGGAAATCTTGCCACCTGACCAGGCCAGTAATGGTAAATTCCATCGTAAACAGAACTTTAATGCCCATTAACCTCCCTAGCGGTCTGATTATGTCAGTATTTCTGTGCTCAAATCGGTACATTTTTTTTGCATGGAAATATGTCGTTTTTTTATTGTAGGCCTGTAATTCTTAGGAATAACTCACTGAAATCTGTCCGAACAAGAGTCTAGTAAACATCCCGGGTATGATAAAACTTGAAACACGAAATCATAAATTATAATATAATAAAGAATCATAAAAAATAATAATAATAATAAATTTAATTCAATAATATAATCAAACCAAAAACACTGAAATTTGAAATATAGCGCCAAGTTCGCACATCACTGAGCTTAGTCGCAAAATCATTTTCAGTGTCTGATGACGAATTTCCCCACGAATCATCATCACTCAATTCTGTAAGTGGTTCTAATTTACTATCGCTGTTCTCTAGCTGATCTAAAACCACTTTTGACCTAAAGGGATGCTTTTTGGACGCCATGGATGTTTCTCAGTTTCCAGGCAGAAAGAACAGTAAAAATGCAGGCAGGACACAGGACAAAGCACTCGGGACAAAATGTATGTGAAATGGTTTGATACAGGAATGTTATACTATCAGATTTTAGTGTATTTAGTGAATGTCACATTTTTACATTCTTGAATTTCCCGCAGGTTCCGTCCCCCGTACGTCCCATACATACTGACGCTCGCAGGGAACAGAACCTGGAAGACGGATGTCGGCATCGGCCGGAGGACATGGCCGGGGATGCTGCAGGGGGGACACCCTGGGAGCGCAGGACAAAGTAAGTGAAACAGGGATCCCGGAGCAACACTGCAGAGTAATCCCGAGTGTAGCTGAAACTTTGCCCCGAGCTACACTTAGGAATACCGCCAGGGGGGTTAAAGAGCTTCTTCATTACTTAATATTTACACTTTTGGGACAGCACAGTTCTTCTTGCCACCTTTCTCAGCAGAAGCCTTGGTTTGATCCATTTGTTCCTATGGAGCAAGTAGAGGGCATGAAGTAGCTGTGGGCAGTGCCATTGACAGAGTGATATTTTTCTTCTCTGTGTGGGTTTTCTTTTTATTCAAGGGCAGCATGGTAGACTTGAACATATCTTGCCTGAGAAAAGAAAGTAGCCAATCTTTCCTGAGAAAAGAAAGTAGCCACATTGTGTCATGATCTGGAGTCTGGCTTAGAGGCCAGTAGTTACAGCAGTAGAGAGGCACCCACCAACGTGCTGGATAAGTACACCCTGGCAGATGACACAGACTCACCCAAGGTGCAGAGTCTAAGTACTACCTGGTGTTCACCAGAGCTGCTGATGGTGGAAATGGGTTTTGCTGCGTGTTAAGATCAGGTTGCAGTCCTCAGGATCGTCCCACCAGTAGGTGAGCAAGTCTGGGTCCAGTAGTAGATATAGCAAGTAGGGATAAGCAGAAGTGTAGTCAGTAAACAAGCCAAAGGTCATTAACGAAAGGCTGCAAGTTGGAATCAAGCAGAAGCATAGTTGAGGAACAAGCCAAAGGTTTGTAATGAGTGGTGGAGAAGATACAGACGGCAGCAGGAGTCACAAGAGTGAGATGTTGGCTGGAGAGAGCGCAATAATCTGGCAAACAAGAAGTGCACAGGCATGGCTAAAATAGGAAGTTCATAGGAGAAACAAATTGCTCAAGAATCAAGAGAAGCAAGGTTACAAGTAGTATCATTCAAGGAATCGTCCAGGGAGCTGTCTAGCATCCCAAATAGCTTAGCAAGAAGAGACATCACCAAACACAGCAGTGGTTGCAGGTTTAGACCTTGGTCTTGACACATTGGAGTTTATTTACTAAAGCTGGAAAATACAAAATCAGGCTCACTTCTGCATAGAAACCAATCAGCTGCTAACATCAGCTTGTTCAATTAAGCTTTGACAATAAAACCTGGAAGCTGATTGGTTTCTATGCAGAAGAGAGCCTGATTTTGCACTCTCCAGCTTTAGTAAATAAAAGCTCAATAATTGTCATATATTGACTGGAATACTTGAATGCAGTTACCCTACCTTCATAGAGGCTCAAATCATGTTCTTTTGTCAAAACACCTTGATTGTTTAACCGCTTCCTGCCCGCCATATAGTAAAATGACGGACGCAAGGTGATTCTCTCGTTCTGGGAGGACGTCATATGACGTCCTCCCATTCTAACCACGCATGCGCGGCTCCAGAAGCCTGGCAATCGGCGGTGCGCTGTGTCCCTCGGACACAGTGGATAACCAATCAACGGAAAGAGCCAAAGATGTCGGCTCGGTCATGTGATCAGCTGTGTCCAATCACAGCTGGTCACATGTAAACAGGGAAATGCCGGTTATCAGCACTGGCAGCTCGTGAGGGGAGGAGAGCTGGTAATTGGCATTCCTCGGAGGGGACCTGTACACTGATCATCAGAGCACTGATGATCAGTGTGCCCTGATGATCTGTGTAGCCCCAGCAGTGCCAGCTGTCAGTGTCCATCAGTGCCAGCTCTCAGTGCTCATCCATGCGACCTGCCAGTGCCCATCAGTTCCACATTAGTGCTACATTTCAGTGCCCATCAGTGCCCTTTCAATGCCACATATCAGTGCCCATCTGAGCTGCCTTTCAGTGTCACCCATCAGTGCCAGTCAGTGCCACCTATCAATGCCAGTCAGTGCCACCTATCAGTGCCGCCAATCAGTACCACCTATCAGTGCCAGTCAGTGCTGCCTATCAGTGTGCATCAGTGCTGCCTATCAGTGCCCGTCAGTGCTGCCTATCAGTGCCGCCTAACAGTGCCAGTCAGTGCCACCTAACAGTGCCAGTCAGTGCTGCCTATCACTGTCAGTCAGTGCCGCCTATCAGTGCCACCTATCAGTGCCATATATGAGTGCTGCCTTTCAATGCCCATCAGTGCCACCTACCAGTGCCTCCTCATCAGTGTCCATCAGTGCCACCTATCAGTGTCCATCAGTGCAGCCTATCAGTGCCCATCAGTGCAGCCTCATTAGCGCACATCAGTGAAGGAGACAAAATCACTTATTTACAAAATTTTATAACAAAAACTAAGAAAAAACTATTTTTTTTCAAATTTTTCAGTGGTTTTCGGTTTGTTTAAGAAAAAATAAAAAACCCAGAGGTGATTAAATACCACCAAAATAAAGCTCTATCTGTCAGAAAAAAATGATGAAAATTTCATATGGGTACAGTGTTGCATGACTGCGCAATTGTCATTCAAAGTGTGACAGTGCTGAAAGCTGGAAATTGGCCTGGGCAGGAAGGGGGTATAAGTGCCCTGTAGGCTAGCGGTTAATAAATGGCAATTTCTAAGGTTATGTATGCTGTGTGAGTTACAGTAAAGCTGCCATCATGATTTAAGCATCACATCACAGTTTATGGGTTGGCTGTGCTAAAATCTAAACAATTGCAATGTATTTACAAACTTTTTTTTGCAGTTGTAGTTTTCCTTTACTGTGATCATAGTCCCCCTCCAGAGAAATATGCATATAAGTGATTCATTGAAAGTCATGGACATCCTAGTTCCCCTATTTATGTACTGTTAATATTTTACCTAAATTAAAGCTTGAGCTAAAATTTCTACATATTCCATCTCCTTTCTTATTTTTTTTTCACTAATAAGCTGGCAAAGGCTGCTTATCTTCTGCAACCTGTCAATAACTCATCCCTCTACTTTCTGGCATAGAAAGGTGCACCGTGCTGGTCCACATATTAGCCTAATCTGCTAACAGATATGCTGCACTTCAGCAGGGAGGGGAGCAACATAAGGCTGACTAACAGCTTAGCTAAAAGTATTGTAACAGTGCGGGTTCATGTACACTGCAGCTGATAAACGCACATTCAGGAGCTGTTCAACGTTTTTTTCAGCAGCCCCTGAACTCACCCTAATGTTTTCCTATGTGTCCATGTACACATCTTCGTTTACAGTCATTTACAGGCATTTGAGTTTACAGTCGTTTTTTTTAATGCAGAAAACTTCGATTTGATCAGCATTTCAAATGCAAAACGCTTGTAAAAGCGGCAAATCGCATTTACAAGCATTTGCATTTGAAAATGTTTTCTAACTCTTCCAGTTTCCAATGCTGTCCAGAGCCTGTTTTCTTCATGAAAAATGCATGCAAAGCATTTTTCAAGGTACTCAAATGGACAAAACACTGAACACAGGATGTTCCTTCCAAGCTGGTCACACATTGTAATGACCAATTCACACCGCAGACCTCTCCTACCCTTGGAAACAAAAGATATGTTAATGAAGATTCACAGCTCAAATTCCTCATGAAGACCCCCTGTCAGGTGGCCTTGATGACTCACTCCACCAGACAGCTTTTCCACCCCTGGAAACAAAAGAAATCTTAATGAGCAACTCACACCTAAGCTAATCTCAACATATACTGCTATCTCTGCTTCTACTCTCTGTATTTCTCTGAAACAGTCTGAAATAGTAATAATTCACCACTTTTCAGTGCATTCTGGGCATTTGGGAGGTTTTCCTGTGCTTATCTTTAAAAAAACGCTCCTAAACACAAACGCACATGAACACATTATGCAAACTCAGCTAAACAGATGTTTTTTTAACCTAAAAGCAGTCAGTTTCCATCGTTCAGCAGTGTCCCATGCACAAGCTAACCTATGATTATCTAAATCTTTTATTTTATTTAAGGGTTCATGTACACTGCAGCTGATCAACTGACATTCAGGAGCTTTTCTGTGTTTTTTCAGCAGCCTCTGAACTCTCCCTAATGTTTTCCCCATGTGTCCATGTACACTATGTCGTTTACAGGCAGTTGAGTTTACAGTAATTTTTTTGAACGCACCAAACTTGCATTCAGGAGTAGATTTTATCAGCATTTCAAACATCAAACACTTTGTAAACGTGTGTAAATGTGGCTAACTGCGTTTATAAGCGTTTGCGTTTATAAGTGTTTTTAAGCGTTTTTATAAGCAGGCTCTGGATGCTGTCCAGAGCCTTTTTTCATCATCAGAAATGCATGCAAAGCATTTTCCATGTATCCAAATTGACCCAGTACACCTGTGCAGTCAGTTCCAGGTTTTGCGTGATGGAAAAAATGGCAGAACGTGCCGCATTATGCTCATGATGGGATCCATAGTGAATACAACCAGAAAAGATAGGATATATCTCAACACATACTGCTCTCTCTGCTTCTGCTCTCTCTATTTCTCTCAAAATGTCTGAAATAGTTAATTTGTTACTGTTTTTCAGTGCATCCTGGGCTTTTTGGAAGATCTCCTGATGTTATCTTTAAAAAACGCTTCTAAACGCAAACGCACATAAATGCGGTATGCAAATGCGGCTAAACAGACATTTTCTAACATATGTTTTTTACAGCAGTCAGTTTCCATCGTTCAGGAGGGTTTTCCAAACGTCCTGTGTACATGAGCCCTAAAGTGGTTCTACAGGCTCAAGGTTTTTTACCGTCATGTATTCTATCCAGTACTCTATGTGTGCAGCAGCCCCCCAATCGATACCTGATGCCTCCTTCAATGCAGCAAAGTTCATGACAGCCTCTGCTGTCTGGGGACTCTTCCTCCTCATTGGCTGAGACAGCAGTGGGAGCCCATTGTTAATCACAGTCAGTGAGCCAATGAGGAGAAAGTGGGGGGCAGGGCCGAGCAGTGGCTCTATGTGTCATATGGACGCATAGAGCAGCTGCTTGGGGACGAGCATGTATTGGTGCCCCCAGGGCAAATGGCTTTACCTGGGGGCACTGCTTGAAGGGGAGGAGCCAAGAGTGCCCAAAGAGAAGAAATGGGGCCATTCACATCATACATCACATTCTAATCACTGCACAAACAGGTAGGTATGGCATGTTTGTTATTTAAAAAGAAAAAAAATGAAGCTTTAGTGTCACTTTAAGACTCACGTGTGTATTTGCTTCTCTTCTGTTGCTTTTGTGTACCATGCAGCTTGTCTTTGAAAGTTCAGTTTTTATCCTTTGTTCCTAAGTTCAAGATGGCTTAGATTCTGATTGCTATTGTCTTTTTTCTTACCTGCCCAAGTTTTCTGTTTCTCCAAATTCCCTTGTCTTCCATCTGCCCTAACTTTTGGCTTGTATTTGTTTATGAGGTGTGACAATTTAATTCCTGGAATGCCCATGGCATAGCTGTATGGTGGTGACTCTCACAACGATTCCCACTGGACCATGTTCTGACATGTTCTAACTTGCACTTGCCTAGGTCTCAGACCAGTTCACTCAGTATTTACAGAGTAGGAAAAAATAACACGTGTGCATTGCTCTGTTGGCAGAAACTGGAATCTGCAGATTAACATCACATTTTGAGTGAAAATTGGCGAAACTGTGAGTGAAACTTGCAATAGGCCTATTATGAACAATTAAATCAAGTCTTTTTGAATGGCATAGACATAGACAAGGGGCGGGAAGGTAACTACAATGATGTAAGAAGTACGGATGCAATAGCGGACAGAGTGCAAACCCTTGTACGCTCATATCATAGATCGAGTGTGCGAATGATGGCAGAAGAACTGAACATGAACAAGGAAACAGTGCAGCAGATTCTAAAGGAGGATTTGGGAATTAGAAAGATTTCCATAAAGATGGTACCTTGAATCTTGACAGAAGATCAATAAGAATGTTGTCTTCAAATTTCATCTGATCTTTTGAAGAAAAAACTGTTTTAACAGTCCATTCCAGGAAATAAATTATTACACCTTGTAGGTCTTGGTTTTACAATTTGGTGTTCCACCTGGTCCTGTCTAGCTGTCAGCTTTTGCCAGTAGGGCAAACTGGGAGCTGCCATGCAATAATTTAATTCTCACCATATTAGGTCCAGGTGAAGACCTACATTTTTAAATTCTACCCATTTAGCAGCAATTACTGTGCATATAGAAGAACTAGGTATACAAGATTAGATGTTGGAAATCAGAATCAGATCAACCCAAAAACAGTTAAATACAAATTGTAGCTGTCTTTGCATGTTAATTAAGTTTTCCTCATTTCATTGAGAAATTTGAAAACCTCTATGCTTGTCAATCTCCTGCTGCTAATTAAATGAAGTGTCAGAACCTTTATTGATCAATTGTTTTCCTAGCTCTGTCAAGCAGCTTCAATGCTAACAGTGCTCAGAAATGCTGCTTGCTTTCTTTGGATTTCACAGGCTAATCTCAGAAATCATTTGTTACATAACCACAGACTAAGGTTTTACACTTCTTTTGTTAAAGCAGAAAACCTTTTAACTCCTACCTAACTGCAAGTAACTGGTATCTCAAGATGTGTGTTTAGTTTTGTTTCAATTTGTTTTTTGACTGAAAATATCATTTTTGGAGATTCAGATGTATACAAATCTCTGAATGGACAACAAACAGAAACAAAGTTTTAATGAAATTAACAAATGCATTTGTTTTATTCGGATGATATCACATGGTGCATTAGTAGTTCAGCTGTCTGTTAGCTGGATTTACAGGGTTGTTTCTTTGCTGGATATATGGGGGATATCTCTTTGCTAAATATATGGGGGATGTTTCTTTGCTGGATATATGGGGCATATCTCTTTGCTGGATAAAGGGGGATGTCTGCTGGATACAGTATATGGGGCATGTCTCTTTGCTGGATATATGGGTCATGTCTCTTTGCTAAATATATTGGGGATATATCTTTGCTAAATATATGGGGGATGTCTCTTTGCTAAATATATGAAGCATGTCTCTTTGCTGGATATATGGGGGATGTCTCCTTGCTGGATATATGGGAGATGTTACCTTGCTAAATATATATGGGGCATGTCTCTTTGCTAAATATATGGGGCATGTCTCTTTACTAAATATGTGGGGTTGAATTATTTTTCCCATTATAGGCATGAGGCCTGAAGGT